TCTGCAAACTTTTGGTTGTGACCCATTAATAAGCCTGAAAGCCAGCTTCATGCGATCACATTTAAGAAGAAATAAACAAGAAATAGAAGATGTCAGTGTACAAAATTTGGATTCATTCATATATGAATGTGGTGTATGTGTGTACTGACGTGTGAGATAAAATGATTTCAGACTGTGTGACTCAGCCAGGACAGTCTGACAGGCAGTGGTCTAAGGGGACATGAGTATCATTTCCCAGTGATCCCCAGCCTGCCTCCCCCCAACAAAGTACTAAACCATCAGTCCAGCTTCAACTTCCTCCCCATCCACACGGGAAGTGGGGCTTCAGTTATCTTTGTTCTCGAGTGTCAGGAAGGATGGCTAGCGATTTGGGCTCATGAGAAAGATGGACAACCGGACAACTTCAAGGAAGCCCTGCCGGGACCTGGTGGAGCCTGGTGGAGCAAATGATGTGAAATGAACGAAACCGCTTAGATTCTGACCTGAGTTCAGGATTTCTGAAGGTCTAAGGAAGAGAAGGAATGGCTAGGAAGACTAGGTGGAACATGGGCGCAAACAATGAGAGTCAGATGAAACCCAAGAAACTGAAAGACAAGCCCACACTTTGTTCTGCTGTGTGAAGGCGTTAGTCGTCCGTCACCAGGAGATGGGCAGCTTTTCCTTTTGTCTTCCTCTCCAGGAATGGGGGTGGATACCTGCTCATTCACGCCTAGCCTCCTGGTCAGCTTCTAGCGACAGTAAGCGATTGCAGGCGCCGGCCTGGACAGGAACGGCCCACACTGTTCTCGTGGAGACAGCTTTCCAAGCGCCAACGGCCACGAGAAAGATGGCCACCAGAAAAGAACACAAACGTGTTCAGAATGGTGTGTTGCCCATGCCCCCAGCCTCTCACTCGGCTCTTCCCAGCTCCTGGGGAATTCCTCCACCAGGTCCACTTAGAAAGTGCACCCAAGGGGCTCAGGGAACTGAAAACCAGCACTCACCCCATGTGTCAGGCTGGGTACTCCATCTGGGGGAGTCTTCAACTTGAGGGAGGGGTGTGTTTCTAACTCCCTAGCCCAGTGGTAGGCAAACTCATTGGTCAACAGAGCCAAATATCAACAGTACAACGACTGAAATTTCTTTTGAGAGCCAAATTTTTTAAACTTAAACTATATAGGTAGGTACATTGTTATTAACTTAATTAGGGTACTCCTAAGCTGGCCTTTGCTAAAAACGTCCTCAATCTGATTGAGGTATGTTCGCTGAGGTCGACCCCTTCCAACTCTCCCATCCACACTCGTCTTGTATACTTGTTTCGTCTATCTCCTTTCGTTCATCCTCTCTATATGTCCAAACCATCTCAACATACCTTTCTCAGTCCTTGACACTACATCTTCTTTCACTCCACAACGTTCCCTAAAATTAACTTAATAAACTTTACTTAAAGTTTTAAGTCAACTTCGCACTGTACGTGCGCGCCCGCATGTGGTATTTTGTGGAAGAGCCACACTCAAGGGGCCAAAGAGCCACATGTGGCTCGCCGCGGTTTGCCCTAGCCCCTTCTCTACACCATCACACGAGAGTAATTTTCACAAAGGCTTGGTGCAGGCTGGTGGTACCCAGTGAAGGATCACTCAGGTATGTCAACACGTCACTGTGCTTTTCCAAGGTGTCAGCTAATCGTCCAGAGTTCAAAAGGCACCTCCAGGCAAAGGTCTCGGCTCTGAGCGAAGTGAGTTCTCATGACCATTTCTCCTCCCGACCACTTCAACCCTGAAGGTTTCACAGCCACCACGTTGCTGGCCTATCAGAGCAACTGAAGTCACTCAGAAAGGAAGAGAGGCCTGAGATGTGAGCAAAAACCACTCTGAGAATCCCGTACAGTCGGCTGCAGGTTCCGCCACTTCACCAGATCCTATTAGGTGTCACATGATGCCCAGCCACCGTCTATTTTTCAGAGTCTTATTTAGTTTGAGGTCAATTCAGAAGGAAGGGAAGCTATGAGGGAAATGCACTGAAGTGAAGCGCATTGATTAGGTAAAGCTGGCCCACCCGTGTCTGTGATGGTGAGGCCTCCTGATCCACACACCCACACAGCTTCAGCCAGTCCATCCCCGGCCACTCGCTGTGCTGGGTCAGTGGAGGATGCCTTCGAAAAACTTTTCACAAGATCTATTTTCAGCACAGCCATTTTTTGACCTCAACTGTAACAATTTGCACATCCAATTCACCATCACCGTCTGTGCTAAATGCAGCCAGTGCAGGAGGGAAGGGGAGACGGGCCTTTTGTATTGCTGGGCTATCGATACTTTTCCCTGGAGGAGACTGCTTTACTCCAGAAGAAAAGTGACTCTATTTTGTACTTGCTAGTTCCCTGTCCTATAGACGGGGATAGTAAATATCTGCTGAGGAGGGCTATTGTGAGGGGTATACACCGGTGACATGCAGCACACAGCAGGCGCTCCGTACATGTTGGTGTCCTTTCCCTGGATGCTGAGGGCAGGTGGGTCAGAAGCGTGCTCTCCTCTGCCTGGGCATGGAGTGTTAGAGAAGAGGGTAAGAGGGGCCAGGAGGGGCCAGCCCTCTTTTTATTTTTTTCCTTTATTGAATAAGATATTACAAATGTGTCCTTATCCCCCCAATGTCCCCTCATCCCCCCAATCCTGCCCTCACCCTCACCCCCTGTCCACATCCT